CTGCCTGAACCATCTGTATTATTGGGAAACACTCCCAGTGACTTGTTTGGGGTTGATCTGTGTTGGTTGACAAAGTCTGGCTGAGATTTTGTCTGGCTGAGGTTTTTCCCTGTCCCAAGCCCAAGGTCTTACCACAGTTTGGTTACACTTTTGCTGGTGGCTCCTGAACCAGTGAGGTTAATGGGTGCCCTTTCATGTCCACCATGACTTTTTACTCCAGTCTCCTCTACTCTGGAGATCCTTAGTGTCTGTCCACCCCCAATAAATATAGCCATATGTATATATATATATATATATACACACACAGGTGTTTTAATCAGAGAATGCAGCACTTAACATCAGTGCCTCGGGTTTATCTGCTGTTGTTTGGGTGTGTTGAGTGATGGGAGGTCAGGCTTTGGTCACTGCCTTTCATTCCTGGGGGTCTGCAGTGCAGAGGAAAGTCATTTGGTGACTTGTTCAATGGTGCTGAGACAAACACAGGACAGAGAGTGAAATGGAGCAGCAGGCTGAGGTGCTATTTTACAGAGCAGATTTCTCTGGAGAGCAGCTGAGTGAAGCTTAGCTGGGGGAGGTGCTGCCTCTTGGCAGACACCACCAGGCTGGTGGGGAGATGATCTTTTTTAAAAAAAATGAAGCTGTTTCCTCTAACTGGTGAACTTACAGTTTCCAAATGATGGTTTTGCCTGTCAGGTTTTTACAGTTGTCGCTTTCTTCTTCACTGCTGGTGACTTTGGGGGGGAGAAGGAGGAGGATTAATTTGGAATATTTCAGCTCACTGTGCTGGGAGGGACCAAACTCAAGGAAACCTCTGATCTATATACACAACTGCTGCATTTTTTTTATAAATATATGTAAATGTCCTCTTGTAATATTTGATCCTGGAAATAAAAACAGACTGTTTTCACTAGGTTTTCTTCTTCATCTCTTGGGGTTTAAGTTTGGGTGGGGGTTGGTTTTTTTATCTGTTGTTTTAATTCTAATGAAAGTCTGTCTCTGCATTATTTGGAAAGTTTCGAAGTTAGGGTAGAAAGAAAGGAAATCAAGCCCAATTCTCTGTGTGTGTGTATCTGAGGTGACAAAATCTTGAAGTGAGACAACCTTTTGGTACCTTGGTAAGAAAAATACCCTTAGGAAAATGAATAAAAAGAGGCAGAGATTGGATTTCCTGTCCTTCCCAGTGGAAGAACAGAGAAAATGTGGCTTTCTGTTCTGAACCATCGATGTCCCTCTGGTGTAGGTGTTGTTGAGATGGAGCCACTGAGTTCTGCAGTTGTCTTCTGGGCTCCTTGGGATGTTCCTGTAATGGCCTCCAATGAAATGCTGGTGAGCAGGGTCCCATTTAGATAGCAAGTACAGTGGGGACACAAAAGCTTAAGGGGCTGGTCTGGGGTTGTCCTGCTGTTGCTGGCTGTAGGTAGAGGGCTCCACTGAAAGCCCCAGGCTTGCCCAGTTTGAACTCTCCAGGAAGTGAAGGAATAGGATGACTTGGCTGTGCCAGGTCATGCTCAAACCTTCAGCCAGTGTTGGTTGTGACTCGTTTCCTTCATCTCTTGGAGAGCAGGAGGAATGTCCTTGGCTGGGCTTATCCAAACCCAAAGCTTCCTCAGGGGAGGTTTGTCCCAGTTCTGTGGTTAACACCTTTGGGGCAGGTACTGACCTCCAGAGGAACCCGGGACAAGGTTGTTGATCTGGCTGCCTTTCCAGGTGGATCTTGGTTGTTACTTTATTTCTAGTATTTGGCTTGTGCCCCTGTCCTCACTGTGTTATCTTGACAATCCCAGTTTCTGTGACGAAGACTTGCTGGTGCCCCTCTCACAGCTGGGAAACAAACCCCAACTATTTCCCCTCCCAGCTGAGTGGGACATATTTTTCATCCCAGTCTGCAGGTCAAGAGACTGAAGATACCCCTTGTTTTTAATTGATTTTTCCCTCCTGCAGACTCTCTCCAGCTTGTAAACCTGTAGTTTATCTCACCTGAAGTGTTACATCAGGTGAAGTTCATATGGAAGCTGAAGAGAATGCCCAGCAGTGCAGCAGTTTTGTGATGGCATTTGGCCTGAGTTCCAGCCACAAGTTGGGTGCAGGGCTTGTCTGAGGGGTTCACCACTGAATGTGCCCACACCTGAGTATGGAGCAGAGGCAAAAACAGAGTGGGATTGACCACTGAATGATGCTCAGCATCCTCAGGGCCAGTGTGGAGGTTGGTTTGGCACAGAATGGTTCCACCTCACGGATCCCAACTCAACTCAGCCTCTTGGATTCTCCTAGAAACCAAACCACTCTTGAAACCCAACCCACCCTGCAACTTCCACAGCCCCAGAGGAGTCACGGGAAGCCAAGACCAAGGGAATGTGGTTGAGAGAGGAGACTCAGAGAAGAAGTTAGCAGAACTTTGCTGAGCCAGAAGAGCTTTGTGTGGCACCACGTTTGGCAGCACCATGCCTGGCTGAGTTGGCCACTGTCCTGACACTTTCAAAATGAAGTTCTCATACAAGACAGGGAGACATGCAGCCCCTCACGGAGTCTGGGAAGCTCTAAAATTAGCCTGGTTTTACTATTATTACTCTTACAGGCTTGGGCTGGAGTGGGTGGAAGGGGGAAGAGATCAGTGATCCTGGGGAAAAGATTCACCCTGATGCTTCCCACCAATGGGGTGAGGTTTTCTGAGGGGGCTGGGTGACCAGACCATGTGTGTGACAACACAGGAAGCCCAGACTGCCCTGACGTGGAGAAGGGCACAAGATGAGGTTGCAACACATTGTTCTCCCAGAGGAGTGAAGCTTCCTCTCTTTCTAAGTAAAAAGGAAAAGAGAGGAAGGAGAAACTGGCTTGTTCTCAGCAGCCTGATGTCCCACGTGTGTCACCTCTGCTGTCCTCTGCTTTTTTGGAGAGCAATTCATCCTGCTTAAAAATAAAAGGGGGATTTACGTGCTGGTGCAACACTGATTTTCCTTGCAGAACAACCAGCATTATTCAGAGAATCTGCTCCTCTCAGCTGGTTTTTCCTTAAAATAAAAAAAAAAAAAAAAGGGAATTGGCTGATGGAACCCAACCTCAACCACTCAGCTTTTCCGTGTGGGACTCGAGGGTTCCAGCTCCATTTTCTGCTTCTTCCAACAGAGTGGGACGCTGGACCTAGAGCTGGTTTGATGTTCTCAACAGTCAGAGAATCCTAGACTGGTTTGAGTTGGAAGGCACCTTAAAGATGATCTAGATCCCTGTGCTCCTTCATTTCAAAGAAGGAAAAGCCATTTGGAGACATTCTTGGTGGATCAAGTTGGGTTATAAACCAAAAGGCACCACTCTTGGTGCTGTTTATATTGACTGTGTTGGAGCAAGATGCTGGAAGATACCTGCACTTTGTCTCCTGTTGCAGATGGACAAGCCCACATCTCAAGCAGTTGATGTCCCTCAGGTCCTCATGATGAAAACATGAGGGATATGAACCTTCTCAAAACTCCTCCTGGAGAAGAAGGTTCTTCCTTTTGCCTGCACAGCCCATGAGAAAATTTTCCGGTTTTTTTTTTAGCTGCCTTCAGCTCCTCCGTGGGAAAAACTGCCCCATTTTTGCCATTTTTTACCCTACAGCTTCCCTGCCTCCTGCTCTCAGACACAGAGGCCACATCTTGGAGCTGCTGCTGTTGGACCTTCTTTTCAGGGACAGAAGAGGAGCTTCCCTGTGCCCCTGTGGGCACCCCAGGTAGGACTTTGAAATGCTGGTGTCTGGTGACTGGCAATCATTAAGATACCCCCAAATCACCTTCTTCTCTCAATGTTACCACCAAGATGTGAGGTCATGGGGAGTCTGCTCAACACCTGGAGGAGAAGCTGGGCCATCTGCATGGAAGCAAAGGGCAGGAGACAGTGACCAGCTGAGACATGAGGAGGTTTAGTTGGAAGCTGCTGTGAAAAATCTTAGTGTGCTCCCTCCTGTGGGTGGAAATGAAACCTGAACTGGTCAGCGTTCCCACACAAAGCTCTTACACAGTGAGGGAACTGAAGTGATGGAAGAAGCACTTCATGCAGGATGTGGACTCATGGTGACAGAGCAATGGCTTTTGGAGACTAGAGGAGAAAGGAAAACGTCCACCCTACTCAGACATTGTTCCAGGAGAAACAGAGTGTCCTGCCTGGGCAATAGTCAAGGTATGTAGAGAAGATGTGGTAGAAGCCTTCAGATCTGAAGCTGTGCAAGTTTGGGTGGGCTTGTGGCTTCTGCCAGGGCAAGGGGGCAGAGCAGATCTGCTGCCTGGGTCAGGCAGGACACTCCTTCTTCCTTCTAGTGGTGTGGGAGAGGGAAGGATCGTGACTGCTGCAGTGGGTGGACCTCGGGGCGGAGGAGGAAGATGTGGAGCACATGCTGGGACATCATAAATAGTCACCCTTGGGTGATGCCTCCAGGACAGGGTTCATAGAGGAGCTGCTGACTCCATGTGGTGCGAGTACCAGGTAAGCCAGGAAGCTCATCCTCCAGGAGGAGATTAGGAAGGGTTTCTTCACCAGAAGATCAGTCAGGCACTGGCACAGGCTGCCCAGGGAGGTGGTGGAGTTGCCAGCCCTGGAGGGGTTCATGAAATGTGTAGATGTGGCACCTCGGGTGGGCACGGAGGGGTTGGTTGTGACTTGTGGGTTGTTGTTGGTTTTGTGGGGGTTTTTGTTGTTGTTTCTTTGGGTGGGTTGGGTTGTTTCCCACCCCTTCCCTGGTGGATGGTTTGCCCCAGGTGATCTCAGAGGGCTTTTCCAACCATGACGATTCCATGATTCCATGGAAGCGGATTGATTTTGTTGGCAAAATCAATATGACAATTAGATGATGTGGGAAAAACAGGCTTTCCATTGGAAGCTGCTCCCTGGGAAGGACAGTGCTGGTGGGGCAGGTTGGGAGCCCAAAGCACAGACCAGCAAAGACCCCTGCCCACCCTGGGGGGGGGATCCGTGGGGCTGAAGGCAGCCCCTTCCTCTCATCCTCTTCTTCCCCAGCCCTGTGCAGGGTGGCCATGTGTGTGGGGAAGTGCAGCAGGATCGTGGGGCCCTGCCTGCTGGTGCTGGGCACGTTCTCCATGGCAGCCAATGTCCTCCTGCTCTTCCCTGGTGGGACAGCCAAGTACCTGCTGGAAGGCCACATCAGCAAGCAGGCCAAGGCCGTGCCGGGCGTCTGGGGAGGAGGTATCATGGTGAGTAGCACAGCCTGAAGCACCTCCTGCCTGGCCTGTCTCTGGGTGGGGTAGAGGACGTGGCTCCTCTTTGTCCTCCATCCATCCAGGTGCTGCTGGCAGCGACCTACACGGCAGCAGTGGGATGGAGATGCCCTGGCTGCTCCAACTGTGGCACCCGCAGCAACGTAAGGACCTCCAGGAACCCCTGCCCAAGGGGCACCTTGGTGGGATGTGGTGGGTGGTCCCTGGGTGGGACATGATGTGGATCCTCTTCTCCCATGGTGGGATCTGGTGGGTGGGATGTCCCCCCCACCCACCAACTCTGGATGCTGCCCACAGGCTTTCATCTCTGCTGTGCTGTCCAAGCTGGCTCTCCTGGGTGCTGCTGCCTGCTTTGTCCTCTCAGGTGTGGGTTTGACCAATGGACCCCTCTGCTTCTACAATGCCTCTGAGTATGGACAAGGTCTCCTCTGGGGTTACCCCTTCCTGGATGTGGGTGGCCAGGAGGCTGATGCCAGGTGAGACAATGGGCTGGAGTTGCTGGTGCTGCTTCTTTCTAATGAAGTCCATGTTATTTATTTATGGTGGGGGGCTGGCTGGTGGTGATGCAAGTCCCTGGGAGCTTCTCATCTCCTCACCTTCTATGGCTTCTTGTGTGGTGTTTCCCAAGCCACTGGTGAACGCTACACATCCTCTGGATGAAGGATGGGGTGTCTGGGGCACATCTGGAGCAGGCTGCCCAGAGAGGTGGTGGAGTCACCATCCCTGGAGGGATTCAAGGATGATGTAGATGTGGCCCTTCAGGGCAAGCTCCAGTGGGCATGAGGGGTGTTTTCAGGGTTGTGTGTTGGTTTTGTGGGGTGTGGTGGTTGGTTTTGTGGGGTCTCATTGTGGTTTTGTGGCTTGTTGTTGGTTTTTTGGGGTTGTTTGGTATCCCCCCCCCTCCCTGACTGGATGGTTGGACTTTGTGACCTTAGAAGTCTTTTCTAATTCTGTGACTCTGACATCTCCGTGGTGCAAAGCAAAGCAATTCCTGGCCCAGAGCAGGACATCATCCTGCATCTCGCCCTCCTCTCCCTGTCACCCAGGGCAGGGAACTACCTGCACGACCGCAGCACCTGGAGCATCTGCCTGGAGCCGGCGGGTGTCGTGGCTTGGAACGTCGTCCTCTTCTCCCTCCTGCTGCTCCTCAGCGCTGCTGAGATGGTGCTGGCCTCCCTGCAGGTCCTCAACGGCTGCCTCGGCTGCCTCTGTGGCTTTTGTGAGGGCAAGTAGGGACCTTCTAGGCTGCCCTGGCAGGAGGCAGTGTCCCCACCTGTTCCTCTGCGTGACCGGGACATGGCCCGAGCTCTGAGCCCAGCGCGGTGCGAGAGCCCAGCACGAGACAGATGGACCCACCATGGGGGGACAGAGCTGAAGGGAGGTGTGTGGGGTCAGTGTCCAGAGGGCTGGATCTGTGTAGAGCCCTCCACCCCATCCTGCCTCTGCCCTGGGCGCTGGCAACCACCTGGGGCTGGCAACCACCTGGGGTTGAAGGAGGAAGACCAACCATCTGCCTGGAGGAGCGAGAGAGGTTTGTGGGGACCTGGTTCCTGGAAGCCCAGCAGCTTCCCACTCTGCAACAACCCCCTCAGTGCACGGTGGGACTTGTAGGGAGAAGAGCTGGAACACTAATTGACTTGTGTTCATCAGTCTGTGTTATGGGGGAGGAACTTGTGTTGGTGTTTGTCTCCTACCTGGGGACAGGAGGGAGGAAGGACAGCAGAGGAGCTGAGCTGGGGGGGGCTTGGCTGGAGTGGTGCTGAAGGAGGTAGGGCTGGACCTGAGGTGTTGTCCCCCCAAACCCCATCATGAAGACATGCAGCTGTGCTGAAACTGCAGCTGCTCTTCCCCACCAGCCCAGGACCCCCGTGGCACCACCTGCCACTGCAGGAGGTGGCACCAACTGCCGCG